GGAGAATGGTAGGGCTGTATTGGGTAGAGCCTTGGGTGTCAGGCTTAGGAGCTGGGACTTTATTTCTTAGTCAAGAGGAACTTTAAACAAGACACCCCTTTCACCCTTCTCTTTGTCTACCCAGGGTTACTTTCAGAAGTACTCTTGACTTGCCTTTGTGCTGACTCTCTCTTTGCTGCAGCTTGGATATTGCTGCCAGTGCTCTTGACCTTTCAAAGGTGAAACTGGGTAGAAGTCTAACAGACAGGGTTGAACCTTTCTGGGTGTCCTCAAACCTCTTTTAGAATCATTTTTGTCTAGTTTCTGGTCAAATTTGTCAATTGAGGTCCTTTTGCAGGCTTAGGTGACAGCTCCAGAGCTCTTGTTATCCTGTAACCAGGGACCTTGCTGGCCTCTCGTCCTCTAAGTCTCTAAGCATCTTGAAATCACTCTCCCCAACTTCTGTTAAATGCCCGAATTCTGTCTTCGCTGTCCAGCCACTTCCAGGAAGATTCACAGCCTACAACTTATCTGTCAGATAAAACACAGGGATGACCCATTGTCCAAAACCTGCTGCGCTCGGGGCTGCTCTCTGAGGAGCAAGTCCGCGTGCAGCAGTCCCCACCGTGGCAAAGGACGTGTCACTTCAGGGTGTCATCTGAGGTTGGTGATAATTATAGTCATAAGGCCCATACCAGAGGGGTTAAAAGGAGACATATAAACTTGAGTAACCTTGCTACTGTTTGGGACATAGGGATTTTTATTTATTGGATTCCTCCAGCCTTTCTCAGGAGATTTGGTCCTGTAAGTCATGCTGACAGATTTATCTTGGGCTCCTGTCATCGATGGCTGTTTTCTCACTAAGCAGGTGGAAGGAGAAAGCCGAGGAAGGTAACTGCCAGCTGGGAGGGCATTTGTGCATCAGCACCATGAAGCGCACATAAATTATATGTATTCTGCAAGACCTCAGCTAGCTATTGCTTCTGCCTTGTCCTAGATTTCTCCTCTGTGACAGCGTTTGCTGTTGGCATTGGCATTATTGTCTGCAGTGGTAATTAGAGATTTGAGCCTTGCCCTTACAGTACGTGTAGGTCTTCAGGATTTCTCTCACAAATAGGGAGGTGAGGAGGGAGGGTTCCATTACACCCACTAAAATAGGACAGGCGAAATCCCACACTAAGCTTCCAGACAGCATTTCTAGGAATGCTTTTAAATTGGTAGACACCCCGTCACCACCAGCCGTGGCCACGGGAAGAATTCTTGTTTGATCTCTGTTCAGCCCTCTTGGTAGAGGGTTCATGGAGAGGGAGGGAAAGGATAAAAGGAGCAAAGGAAGAAGATCTTAGGGATTCTGGTGTGATGCTCTCTAGTCTTTCTTGTGCCGTACAATCTGTTCTTCAAAGAAAATTGCTCTTATTACCATTTGTTTAGGCATGGTGTAAACTAGGAACTGGGGCAGATGTTTTACACAGACGCATCTCATTCCTTATCTGCAGGATGCTTCCACGCATTCCCCCACCCCAGGGGTGCCTAAACCTCAGCTGATTCTGAAAGAGTCTACCCAATCTTCCTTCCTACACACACTGACATGTCTAAGCCAAAGTTTAATTTATAAATTAGGCACAGCAAGCATTTAACAATATTAATAATAAAATGGAATGATGACAGCAATAAACATACAGTAACAGAAGCTATATAACAGTTTTTCTCTTCATATAAGTGCGATGCTTTATGGCACAGCACATTTCCATCATTTTGAACAGGTTTTCTGTTTATATCTTCCAATCAAAAATTAGTGCTTCTACTATCTTAACTAAGCACTCATGCACTGTGGCTTTAACTTTTGCAGTTCAAGGTGCAACAGCAAATGTAGCACTAAGTTCTTTTTCCTTTTTCACACTTTCACAGATAAACGATTTGTTATTATCACAGAACTTAGAAATCTCAGCATACAATTTTTTCCCTTAAGTTGAGAACATTCACTTTTTCATTTAAAGGAAGTACTCTCAGTTGCCAGCATCATCACATCTGTGCTTTTGGGCCATTATTGAGTACAATAACAGTAACTTGAACCCAGGCCTTTTAATATGCTGACAATTGGACTGATAACTGACATGGCTACTAAGTGACTTACGGGTAGTTAGTATATACAGCATGGATATGCTGGACAAGCGATGATTCACGTCTTGGGTAGGAAGAGTGGTATAACATGAGATTCCATCATGTTGCTCAGAATGGCATGCAATTTAAAGCCTATGAATTGTTTATTTGGGGGATTTTCCATTTAATATTTTTTGACCATAGTTGGCTATAGATAACTGAACCTGTGGAACTTGAAACCATGGATAAGGTAGGAAATTACTGGATTACTTCATTTAATCTTCAAAAAACCCTAGGAGTTAGGTGGAGTTATTTGCCTTCATTTTCCAGACAAGAGAACCAAGGCACAGAGGTGAAAGAAGGCATGGCTAAGAGGAGATGGAATTGGCATTGGAGCCCTGGCTGCTGATGTCAGAGCCGGTGGAAGCCCATGTGATGGGGAAGTCCTGCCTCTTAGTTCTGCCTTCCACTGGAGGGATGAACTCAAAATCAGGGAACTGCTCTGGTTGAAGCTAGGTTTGGGTGTGGACCTGACCTGACTTATTTACTCCCTCGCCCCATAGTAAGGCCAGTCAGCCAGCTTCTGCTTCCAGTCACATTCCCTCATGTTCTTGGGTGATGAAGCTGAAAAGCTATGTTTGGAAGGTGCTGGGCTTTGCCCATGGTCACATAGCCTGTTGGTAACAGAGCCCAGCTATCTGGATTCTTAGACTATGGTGAAGAAAGCAACCCTCAAACAGCAACACCAAGAAACCTGACTGCACCCGAAATCCTGTAGTTTCAATTTCTCAGACTTAAAAAGTGATTGAGAAGGCAAAGCCCGAAGAATAACAGGAATGTTTTACAGGAAAAAGAAAGTTATTGTAGAACCAGGAAATGATACCAACAATTCCAAGACTCTGCCCACAGCTGATACAGCAGATGTTTATGCCAGTGCTTGCGTCTCCCCAAATGATGCCCACTACATGCTTGAGGCTCTATTCTTAGAATTTCTTTTATGGTCCCAGTTGTTTCCAGGGCTGTGCCCTTTAAGGTCTGACTCGATGTGTTCTCTCTGTCCTGCTGACACTTTAAAATCGGAGTTCTTTTGCTTCGGTGTCCAAAGAACCCTTCTAGAAGAACTACTTCTTATTTTTAATAGGAAATTAACTTTGGGGTCTCCTTCTTTTACCCAGTTTCTCTTTCTCAAAGAAAAGTTCTTGGACTCATTTCATTCAAACTGTTGTCCCTGAGATTACAAAGGTGTTTAATTAATTAATTGCCAAAGTTGCATGCAAACAGAATGAATGCTTGAGCAAATCTTCCTTGGTCTTGGGGAGGAGATGAAAGTGTCTCTCAGAACAAGGATGGGTCGAAGCAAGAACCTGGAAGATACTTGAGAAGTCAGTAGATTCTCAGTTGTATCCCCATGCTCTGTTCTGGAATATGGATGCTCTCTTATCTAAGACTGGATCTGAGGATACAGAAGTGAATATATAGTTTCATATCTTTGGAAGGAAGAATTTTTTTTTAAGATTTTATTTTATTTATCTGAAGGGCAGAGTTACAGAGACAGAGAGGGAGAGAGAGAGAGAGGTCTTCCATCCACTGGTTTACTCCCCAATGGCCTCAATGGCAAGGGCTGGGCCAGATGGAAGCCAGGAGCCAGGAGCTTCTTCAGGGTCTCCCAAGTTCCATCTTCCAGGTGCAGCAGCAAGGAACTGGATCGGAAGTGGAGCAGCCAGAATTTAAACCAACAACCATATGGGATTCCAGCATTGAAGACAGTGGCTTTATCTGCTATGCCATAAATGCTTAACCCAGAAGAATTTTTTTTTTTTTTTTGACAGGCAGAGTGGACAGTGAGAGAGAGAGACAGAGAGAAAGGTCTTCCTTTGCCGTTGGTTCACCCTCCAATGGCCGCCGCAGCCGGCGCGCTGCGGCCGGCGCACCGCGCTGATCCGATGGCAGGAGCCAGGAGCCAGGTGCTTTTCCTGGTCTCCCATGGGGTGCAGGGCCCAAGCACCTGGGCCATCCTCCACTGCACTCCCTGGCCACAGCAGAGAGCTGGCCTGGAAGAGGGGCAACCGGGACAGAATCCGGCGCCCCAACCGGGACTAGAACCCGGTGTGCTGGCGCCGCAAGGCGGAGGATTAGCCTAGTGAGCCGCGGCGCCGGCTAGAAGAATTGTTTTTTAAAGCTGTCTTGCAACCACGTGTCTCCCCATGTGTGATTACACAGAGGACCTAGTCCGGAAGGTTGCTTCTCTTGGTTTAACACTCTTCTGTTACCACCTTGAAATTCTTCATAGTTTTGAACACGAAACTCTGCATTTTCATTTTGCACTGATCCCTGTACATGACATAGGCTATCCAGCCTACAACATGCTTTGGGGAATGTGTGTTTGTGGTGATAGTGGATTGGGAAATCTATATTTGTAAGGAAGTTATGACCCACTCTGGTTTCCAGCCTTGTTACAAAAACATGCTCTGGTTTAAAAATGTATATGTAATTCAGAGTAAACACGGAATCTAAATTGAGTAAGGTGCATGTGGTAACAGTAAATTTAGTATCTCACCTTTACGAGTTAAATGAGGAGTCATTTCTCAGTGCCTTGCGCTATTTTTAGGTTATAGATCTTGAGATCCTAGCTTGTGTCCTTTTCTACCTGGTGCTTGCCTTGCTGGAAATAAGGTTACCACAGGTCACGTCCCAGTCCCTTCATCTGTGTCTTCCCCTTGGGTACAGGAAGAGACATTGTAATGAAATGAATCTGAAGTTGCAGGGTTTTTTGTTTTTAATCATCATTTTAACCATCAAATTACTTCAAGGAATTTTCAGGTCATCACATTAAAAAAACTGTTATTTTTCAATTTAAGTGTTGGAAAATTCCAGCATTATAACAAATTAGTTTATTTATATAATCTTTAGTAAAGTAATAATAAAATACAAATTGAGTCTTTGAAAGAAGACATTAGAAAAGTAGATGTTTCATAACACAGTTGTCATTATTAGCAAGATTATCATTCAGTTTAAGACATACAATGAAGAAAAATAACAATGAAATATGTGAATACATAGGAAGCTAAGTTAGAAAAAAGACTTATGTAATTCCTAATCTGATTTTCCAAGGAGTGACAAAGCGCAGAATTTTATTTGCTTCTGAAATTTAAAATGAGACAGAGACAGATGAGGCCCTGCCAACTGTTTTTGTAGCCACTGAAAACATATACCAAGCATTGTGTATGCTGTGGTCACTTTGACCTGCCTTCTGCTCTCTCTGCCTTTTGGGAGTAGAAGTTCAGGACACTGAAGGTGGTCATTTCCAGGATACTGTGCAAGGTTTGCTGGGGTTCCTTGATTTCTTCAGTCAGGCATTGACAACTCAGGTTTCTGTAGGGTCTCTGCATGGGTGAGCACTGACTGGGTTGACCTGGAGAGAAATGTCCAATCTCAGCTGGGCAGCCTACTAGGCAATTGGACACAGTTGATGGGAGGAAATATTATCCTCATACGTTCCAATTTTTCAAAAAGAGTAGAATCAGGATTTAAATTGTTTTCATAAACTTGGATAAATGAATTCCTTTCACGTTTGATTATGGACGACCCTTTTTCTTATTCTAATTTATAGACACTGGTCTCAGTTCCTCCTTCATAGATTCCATTTTCCTAACTGCAAAATAGGAGTGAAAACTTACTGATCTCTATTTTACATAGAATATTAGAAAATAAATCAGTAGGTACGGACATTTCTGGCTGAGAAGTGTGCCATGAAGAAGAGAACCTGAAGAAGAGGGAAAAAAGCCTAGATTTTTAGGTATTAATTAATTAATAGGCATCAAAGATATACGTGTCATTGTAATGTACTTCACAGAATGGGCATGATCTGATGCAACGTGACCTCAGTAACAACACCTTCTCTCGGTTTCCTCCCTGAAATTTTGTGAAGCCAAATGATTGATTTTTTTTAAGGATTCATAGACTATTTTCCTTATTGGCAAACTGGTTAGACTAAGCTAGGAATTTTTTTGATCAAGTTAGCAAATAAAACACTTTTAAAGCTCTTCTTACTTCGGTGTATGTGGAATTATGATCAGTCCCATGTGAAATTTATAGTTCTAACTGTTAAATTTTATGACGTCAAATAACTGGAATATTAGAGTAACTTCTGTCCTCCATGAGGAAATTGAGTAGATCGCCCATCCTTCTTTATTCCGGAAAGGAATCTACATTGCTTTATTCTGATAGAAGTGTGTGTGCATGTGTGTGTGTGTGTGTGTGTGTGTGTGTGTGTCTGTCTGTCTGTCTGTCTGTCTGTCTTCCGAGAGCTGCTCTGGTGTTCACGAGCTCACTGCTGTGGCCAAGCTTGCTAAGCAGCACTCTTCTTTCAGGGAGGCAACGTTGCCTGGTTGATCTCTAAATTTCTTTCTGCTTGCTTACTGCTTTGGTTTCATGCCATTTTTCTGCCTCTCTCTCATCTGCTTGTGTTCCTTTCTCCCGGGACGCTCTTCAAAGCTCAGTGTAGATTTGCTAAGGATTTGTTTCTTGCCTTCCAATTTCGACTCTGAACCATCCCAGGCCTTCCTCCCACCAGACCTCTCTTAACTTCCCCCCGACAGCTTCCTTCTTCACTCCACACCCCAACCCTCTCTTCACTCCTTTACAAGTGTGGTGCCCTTGTCTCTTTCAACCTCACCTTGTTAGATGACGTTTCTTCTTAGTGGATGCTTTTCCTTGTCCCCAGCTCAGTTTTCTTCCTGGTTGAGACCCTGTACTTACTTTCTTCCCGGCCCTGTCGTTTTCCCCGAGAAGGCAACTACAACTTCTCATCCTTTTCCTCCTGCTTTGTGCCTCTGTCCTTTTCTTCCTTTTCTTCCTCTTCTTTCTTCCAACCTTCTTCCTTTCTCAGCTGTTTTCAAAAAACCAAGGGAGCCTGCAAAGATATTTACAATGTAGTGCAATTAAATAATTAAGCTAAAAAGTGGGACTGAGAGACTCAGAGTAGAAAATGTTATGTGGGGAGGGAAGTGAGTAGACAAGCTCAAACCCCCAGTTTGATTCTCCTGGGGCCGCCTTCTGGTTTCCTCTTGCTTGTCGTGGTGGCTTTTCTTTCCTGGAAGCACGTCAGCCAAAGATTCCCAGAGCTCAAGGGTCAAAAGCCACCGTGACCGCTTAGCCGCCTGTGTGCTGGTACCATGGCTAAAGGCTGGGTCTGGAACAACTGGCCTTTGCAAGTGTACAGATGCCAGGCGTTTTATTCCTGACACACAGCCCCTATGACAACAGTTGTCATAGCGAAAATGCCAGTCATGAAGAACAAGCTAGGTGTCACTCTCCTCTGCGTTTAGTTCTCATCACATGGCAGTCCAAGTGTGGATCCTGCCTCGTCCCTGGCTGCTATCGTGTTACTGCTGCAGGACTGTGCCTGCCTCTCCCTTTGCAGTTTTGCACAAGCCCTGTTGAAAAAATGGTTCCTGCCGTCCCTTCCACCATACCCTTAGACCTCTGGGCTGGGTGCCATTTCTGCCTCTGGAGTTTTCTGAGTCTTGGGAACATTGCAGTTTCTTGATGGCTGCTCCCACTATTGATCTTGATTTCCTTAAGCATTTCTCCTTGCTCCTTCTGGAAATTTATGCCTATTTCTGGCATTTAGCACCCCCCACCTGCTGCCCCATCTCTGTGAACACTCAGGCAGAGAATTCATTTAATTTTTTTCCCCTTGCTTCTTCTGGCCATAAATTTCCCTCGCCATTTCTCTGACCTCTTATTCCTTATGTACTTAAGAAGTCTTATTTATTTCAACCTCTTATGTAATTTATCTTGTGTTCATTCTCCACCTTTGCTTGCCTTATCTTTTTTTTTTTTTTTTTTACCCTATATGGATTTTGCTGTGTGAAGTGGAGGCCTCCTCTACCTGACATTTTATAACTCGCCTGTGCGTGCCCTTCTTGCCTCTGACTGATCTTCCTGCTACCGATTTCCTCTCCCCTCATCTCCTCCCTCTCCCGTGCCTTTGGTATTTATTACCATACATTTCCTATTGGCTGGTAATCACTTATCTTCTTCCTTCATTTTTTTTTCTTTCTCCCCCTTCCATCCTATTGTTTTATTTCACTGTCACCCTTGCCATAATTTTTCAGCCACCTAAGACTGTTCTGACTTGAAATGATTTGCTGCTGCACAACCTCAGACCCGGCTATGACACAGAAATCAGGCCCACCCATCTTTTCTTTCTTTCTCCTTGTAGAAAACAGCTAAGTTAATGCAAGTAAGAACTCACTCTCCAACCATATGGGATAACTTATGGCTGCAAATGAAAATCTCCCAATGTTTTGCTCCTCACAAGTTTTCACTTCCCCAGCACAGCTTGGGCAAGTCCAAGAAGTTAAAATCTCCAGGGAGGGAATATTTTCATGAAAATCCGCATTCTGCTTCTAGAATGTTCCTTTCACTCAGAGAATTCGCGTTTCAGTAACATTGCAGAGCATCACAAGGTTTCTCTTCCTCCCCGCCCCCCTCTGCTCCCCTTCCTTCTTTTTCAGGGAAGGTAATTTTGAATTCTCAACTAAGTTTGTTTTCCTTAATTCATGCGACAGAGGAATTTTCCCATATAAATATAGGCTTTAACCTTTTTCTCACTCTGGCTTATAAAAGCACATGCTAAAATCAAAAGGCCCATTTTACTTATGCACATTCTGTCTCTGAGATTTTGTGAGGGGTGATTTTCTACACTGTTTACCGAGAAAATGGTTGGCACTGCCCCAAACACAGCCACCCACATGCAAAGCCAGGTGTGAGAAGTTGTGGGGACCATCTGAGGTCATGAACTCATTAAATGAACTCATCTTCTTGTGGAGATATTAAAGAACTGCTTTGGAATAAGAAATGGACATGAAATATACTTTGGTGATGGCTGTGGTGATAACCTCTACAATTCATCCATTCATCATTCTATAGCCTTCCTGAAGATGTGGACTGGGCAGCCACAAAATAACTGTAGGAGCCCGTGCTGTGACATAGCAAGTACAGCTGCCGCCTGCAACACAGATATCCCATCTGGGCACCTATTCGAATCCCAGCTGCTCCACTTCCAATCCAGCTCACTGCTAATGGGGTGGGAAAGCTGCAGAAGATGGCCCAAGTACCAGGACCCCTCATGCACATGGGAGACCTGGAAGAAGCTCCTGGCTTCAGCCTGACCCAGTTTCTTGTGGCCATTTAGGGAGTGAGCCAGCAGATGGAAGATTTCTCTCTATATATCTTCCTTTGTCTCTGTAATTCTGCCTTTCAAACAAGCAAATATATCTTAAAACAAATAATAACTTTGACCAAACCCATGTCTGTATAGTAGAACTAATTTTTCCTGGGGCATGAGCCAATCTCATTTATTGCCTTAACTTTATTAATGTTTATGTTTTCTTTTAAATATTTTATTTTTTAAAAAATACTTATTTTACTTATTTGAAAGGCAGAATGACAAAGAGAAAGGAGAGACAGGTATCTTCTATCACTGGTCCACTCCCTAAATGGCTACAATGGACATGGCTGGTTGAGCCCAAAGTCAGGTGCCAGGAACTCCATCCTGGTCTCCCATGTGAGTGCAGAGGCCCATACCTGGACTCTCTTCCATTGCTTTCCCAGGCTCATTAGCAGGCAACTGGATCAGAAGCAGAGCAGCTGGGACTTGAACTCATGCTCTGCTAAGGGATTCTGGTGTCACAGGTGATGGCTTAATTTACTGTGCCACAATGCCAGTTCTTACAGTTTGGTTTTTAGATCTATCCTCAATTGTGTTTCTCTATATAGTGAAGCATCTGATGCTTATGGGAGAGAATCAGGAGGCATGGGCTGTACTCTCAGTTCCACTCCTAGAGCAACCGAGGGTAAATGAGAGACATAGATATCTTCCATCCACTGGTTTACTCCCCAAATGGTTGTAAAGGCCAGGCCTGGGCTAGAGTGAAGACAGAAGCCAGGAATTCAATACAGATCTCTGATGTAGTTGGCAGGGACCCAACCACTTTAGCCAATCCCTGCAGCCTCCTAGAGCTCACATTAGCAAGAAGTTGGAATTCTTCAATTGGAAGCACGGTTAGGACTCGAACTCAGAAACTTTAATATGGGACATAGGCAGACCCAGGGGCATCCTAACCACTGTGACAACTGCCCAGCCTAATGCTGAAGAGTTTAAGGCCTTGCCTGGTAGATTTCCAATCATTAGTCCTTTGAAAGCTCTATTCTCTGATGTTCTCAGGAGTTTCCAGCATATGATCCGTAAGACTCATCTTTTACCTCTGGGAATGTTTTATACAATGTTCTAGGAGCCAGAGATATTAAATTATGCTAATGGATAGCATGCCTGGTTTTTATTTGTGTGTTTCATTTATACATCTTCAAAGTGATGACTGTTGTAACACAATGGCAAATCATCTATTATCCTATAAATGACATCTAAAACACACACGTTATGGCACTACTCTCAATACTTGGATCATCTTTTTTTCCCCCTAGGATTTATTTATTTATTTGAGAGGCAGAGAGAGGGAGAGACAAAGAGAAAAAGGTCTTCTATCCACTGGTTCACCCTCCAAATTACCACAACAGCTGGAGCTGGGCCTATCTGAAATAAGGAGCCAGGAGTTTCTTACAGGTGTCCCATGTGGGTACAGGGGCCCAAGCACTTGGTCTATCTTCTACTGCTTCCCCAGGTGCATTAGCAGAGAGCTGGGTCGGAAGTGGAACAGCCAGAACTTGAACTGGCACCCATATGGGATGCCTGTGCTGCAGGTGGAGCCTTAACCTACTATGCCACAGCGCCAGCCCCTAGATCGTCTTTTAAAAGAGCTGGTGTATGGCACATTTCTGGGTATTAAGGGAAATTTTCCATTTCACTGAACAACTTTACCACAGTTATAGTTCCTGATTATTATTACACTTTGCAAGAGATGATTTTTTCCATAATTAAATGTAAGGTTGGTATGAAAATATGCCTAAAAGAAGTAATATGATTTAAATTTCATGGAGGTCTGAGTGACTGACTCTGGATTCTGGATTCTGGATGTAGCCATGTAGTGGAGGATACCCTGGCTTCCTGGGAGAGGGAGGGAAAACTAGAGAAGGGGCTATGGCTAAACATGGAAGGGGGAGCTGGGGAACTAAAAACAGGTTCTGTCACCCCCACAATTATGTCTGCATTTCCTTTGACCCTTTCCTCTTGAGGTGTCAGCTACTTTTAGAAGGCTTAATTTGGGGGCCGGCGCCACGGCTCACTAGGCTAATCCTCCACCTTGCGGCGCCGGCACCCCGGGTTCTAGTCCTGGTCAGGGCGCCGGATTCTGTCCTGGTTGCCCCTCTTCCAGGCCAGCTCTCTGCTGTGGCCCGGGAGTGCAGTGGAGGATGACCACATGGGGCCCTGCACCCCATGGGAGACCAGGATAAGTACCTGGCTCCTGCCATTGGATTAGTGCGGTGCGCTGGCAGCAGCACGCCAGCTCCGGCAGCCATTGGAGGGTGAACCAACGGCAAAAAGGAAGACCTTTCTCTGTGTCTCTCTCTCTCACTGTCCACTCTGCCTGTCAAAAATAAATAAATAAATAAATAAAAAGAAGGCTTAATTTGGTCTTCAGGCTTCTGATTCTGCAGATCTCAAGGTACATTTTATGCTGATCTGACTCTGACTACTGTGGAGACAAAATCTACAGAGCAAACTGGTGGAGATTGATCTAATATTGTAGGAAAATCATCAGGAACGAACCCAGGCTAGCTCACTCCCTTGAGCTAGGGTAGTAGAGGGGCCCACCCCTCCAGGGGTTTTTGATTCTGCCACTCAGCACAGAAGTTCCAGGTAGGGTGGAGGAACTGACCTTTCTCTTCTTACCTCTAAAGATAAGTCTCTCTCTCTCTCTCTCTCTATATATATATATATACACACACACACACACACACACACACACTTTTATATATATGGTATGATTTGATATGTAAGTCACCTTTGTACATATAAATTATATATAATTAAGTTATATATATAGATCAAATATTGCCAATATAATGTTCTACAAGAAGACTACCTAAAAGCCTATTGTCATAGAAAAATAAGTATTTATTTCTTATTCATATGTCTGTCAATTGACTGGTCTAGGTTTTACTGAGTTTGGCTTAATCTGCAGTTGGATTCAGGTTTGCTTCACATGTCTCTTGCCATTCTGGGACTTGTAGCTCCAGGGAGATGATCTTGTAGTCTCGGCAGGTCAAGTCTACAATGTGGCACTCTCCCAGCTGTTCTTGCTAATTTTAATAGGCCAAAGCAAGTGACATGATCAAACCCAAAGTCAAGGCATGGGGAAGTACACTTTGCTTACCAGAAGGCAAAGGGAGATGTTTGATACTAGAGGATTGAAAAATTGGGAACAATACACTGCAGGGTCTGATCAGATGACATCAAACTGTGGGTCTTCCTCGAAGGCTAAGACACTTAAATAGATGGTTGGACTTGGAAAGAGCAAACATTAACAAGTGCAGCAAACATTTATTTTTATAGTAAACTATGAAGTAATAAAATATATTATTCAAAGCTCTTTCACATTCAGTCTTATTTAGGGTTTCAGACCAAATGTGAAACAAGTGTGTGTGTTCTCTTTTCACCATGTATTGAGTATTTTTAAGCTAGATATTATGTTTAATACTTAGATGTCCTTGATCTCATTTAATCTGTGCACCTGTTCCCATAAAGAGAAGACTGAACCTAAGAGGGCTTATATAATGTAACCAAGCCACATAACTAATAGGAGGCAGAGGCAACTCCTATCTGATGGCTTCAAACCTTTCTCTCTTACCTAATGTCCTAGGTAGTCAACAACATTCCTAGGAAATCAACTACCCTGGTCCTAGGAGATCAACAGCTACCTTAGGAAGTGGAGTTTTCCATTCTTACATCACAGATTATTACAACAGACAAACAGGGTAGTCACATGAAACACACAGCCAGCAAGGTGAACAAGAGATGTTGCTGGCACCAGAATGTGGGCATACTGCATCCAACCTCATGTGGATTCAGTGCAGTCTCAGGAGGACTGTCGGGAGTCATTAATTTCAAACTACTCATGCCATGCGGGTGTCCAGTCACTTCTTGGGCTACTTCTTTCTCTTTGGATTCTCAGCTCTCCTTGATGAGAGCTGCTGCTTTATAGATCTCTTGGGAGGATCTGACGGTGATGAAATCCCATGGCTGCACTCCCCACCTCTCTGCCAATTTGGGTTTATTTCTGTCCCGAGCCAGATCTGGCAGACTCTCCTGTTGACAGTTACATGCTGAATCCATTTCAGGTTGTTCCCGAAGCCCGTTTCACAACAGGAAATCAAAGTAAGGGATCCTCTTGACTGCTTAGGAAGAGAGAGTCTGAGGACAGAGAA